ACACAACACGAATCTGCTGTCAAAGAAACAATGCATCCATGAAGTTAAACAAACAATGAAAATTGAAATTAAAACTAACATTTTCACTTTCAGTACTTTCACTACTGCGCGCATAGCCAGCCACAAACACTGCTTTAGCTGGCTGGGGCTTTGGACGCAGTAATAGCCTGATCAATGACTGACTATTGGAGAATTCAGCGACCTTGAACCAACTATTGTGAATTTCAGTACGCAATTATTGACAAAACTGAACAATAAAAACACGACACAAAGAACAGCTTTATGAGGTATTTTTGAAGCTTCCTGTGGTTTCTTCAGAATTTAGTTTCAACACCTCTGTTACCAGAGAGCTAGTTCATGTTTTAAGACTTCTTTTCCGGGTATTTTTATTTATTTAGTGTTCTGTCTGACGACAGGTCCATATGAACAGGATCCTTCCATCTTTTTCTCGGACTGGGACCTGTTCATATACGTTCTTGGCAGATGATCCCGAAGTGGTTTGCCATTGCCTTCTTCTGTGTGTGAATGGAGTAATTGTTGGGATGCCACGGAGGAAAACTCCGTGTTGCCTAGACCACGGCCTTGCCCAACACAAGTTATAAATTCGGGCACCGCCGGGAATCGAACCCGAGACCCCAGGATTACAAGGCCAGCGTGGCGTCCTCCTGGTCAGTAGGATATAATAATTAAAATTATAAGATATTTGTAAATAAGTTTATCAATTTCTATACAAAGTGATTGGGCCGTTTGCTGTATTTAACTGGATCACTGCCGTAAGGCTTCCACTATTAACATAATCCTTACAGCAGAAGGGTAGGCCTTAAATCAGTGAACTAGTTTACAAAGCAGCTTTCTTCTGAAGACAGTTTCTTTAAATATCAATAATGTACCATAATATAAGGTAATTATTAATAAAAGTGGGTCTAACTGTATCCAGCAACTTATTTTGTTTTTGTTAATAAGTGTATTTTCTGAGCTGGTCAATAAAATTCCTGTCTTTCGTGGAACAGGAAGGTTCATTACCGTGTACACAACAGCCTGGCACTGGGCCATATCCTGAGCCACATTAATTCAGTCCACACCCTTATACCCGATTTATTCGTCTTTCAATATTGTCCTGGTATTAAACTTAGGTCTCCCTTAACGTTTTCCGAATCATAATTTGTAACTTGTGCGTTTTTAATCTCTCTCCCTTCCGTGCTACATGTCCCCGACGGTCTCATTCCATTTGATTTGATCACCTTAAAAATATTACTTAGACAGCACAAATTCTGAAGCTTCTCGTAATATAATTTTCTCAACATAATTTAGTTACAAAAGAAATATTTTGTGATGGAAGGCCCAATATCTGTGCTAGAACGTGATCTGTTCAGGATTCTACGCTACTATGCCAGTCACAGAAATGAACATCTGAATTATTCAAGTTTCAGGTCTGTTCTAAAAGCTGTTACATCAGCAACATCTTTATTCCGTGTAACGCAAAAGTGGTCCGTACAGTTCTTCGTATGGCAGCAAATACCGTGTTTCTGAAAGCACTTACTTCGACCACGTGATGTCTATTTCTATACCAGTGTCCTCCAGCCATTACACTTACATAATTCCTGTCAGTACTCAGACATGCGTGACTCGCTCGATCGTCACGATGTATGGAGCGCCGTAGAGTTCTGCAGCCCTTACAACACGACTGGATCCCTGGGAATCCATTCGATTAAATGCACGAGGTTCGAAACGCAATCAATGAGCCCCCTTATCTCAGTATGTCTCCCACTGTCGTAAAAAAATCGCCATTGGGGAACCAAATGTATCTATCGCTTTTAATTATGCGTTTTTTGAACATAATACACAAAATAAACGCACAATGAAAATGTGGCATGTGTCCTATATTCTACCCATCGGCATGATTCATGTCCAAAGTTACCCAACAGATGTCGGTAGCATCTGATACTGGTGATACACTCTGAAAGTTGCACAATAAATTTAATTTTGCTTTGGATCGGCTGAATATAACTCACACTATGAATCTCAAATAGCGTTTCATTTTTATTTTTGACTGCTCATAAAAGTCTCGTCGAGTGACTAAGACTCAGGTCTCGACCCGAAGACCGGATATCCTGTCTGAGGAGTTTCGTGGTTTTCTTCAGTTCCGCCAGGCAAATCCTGGTATAGTATCTTAAATTAGGCCACATTAAATTAACCCTTAATCATAGTCTGATCTACTGACAGCGACGTCGAAATAAACGAACATCCGATAAACAAAATACAAAAATAATATCAACGTTTAATACGATATACTATATATAACAGGATCTCTTTCAGCAATATTTAGGCCCTAAATCCCACACGCGACTTAAACCTGTTGACTGCACGAATAAAAATCTATTTTAATGACTCCTCTACAAGATTTCCACCAATAGTAAGAATAATGCTCTCTGAAAAAAAATCTATGTTTAGTCCAATCTGGACTGCAATTTTCCCATCTTTTTATGAAGGAATGTATTTGAACATCAAATACCAGCAGGTATGTACAATCACTCTTACATGGCTCAATTCCGTCTTCTCAAACTGGCCCTACTTTCTATATTGTAAAACCGGGAACATTAAAACAACACTGGAGAACTAATTAATCAAGTAATGTAGGTCCAACGCATCTTCAAGTACCCCATTTCACCCACCAAAAAGACACCATCACCTCCCCGCATCGCCATAGACCTTTCACAACATACAAATAATCTAGCGCAAAACACCAATACAGCGGATTACAAACCCCGACCTACACATCGGAGAGCAACAGACTACAATTCAACAGGTACTAGAGCAGGTTAGGTTCTGTCAGATGCAACTCTTACTGTTTACCACGTGAGGTACGTATGGACTCGATAGGAAGGAAAGAGACCCATCGGTAAGAACCATAGCCAGCGAACACAGAAAATACGAAAGAGACCGTGAAATCGAGAGTAAAAAACCGCATGAAATACGAAAATGAATGGCAATGAAACATTTTAAATGTAGTCTTAATTCGTTGTAGGCTACGTATCGAGTATACATATTAAATTAACGACTCAATACCAACCTTTTTATAATTAATGGCGTTGCGGTAAAACGAGACGAACAGAAGACTCGGTCTAAAACGTCTACTACTGTCATCAAATTGGCCTGTAGTCTAATCAGATAATCTACATTGTTTCTAAATACAAGAAACAGAATAATACTAAAATACAGAATGAAGTAAAGCGTAACTGTTTAACACATTTCGAGTCCTATTTGAGGTTACTTCGCTTGACATTGTATGTAGTCCATTATGAATACAATACCAGGTTCCGAAAGATACAAGCAATAAACACCTTCACAACCTCTGAGATAACAAAAGACTAACGAAGTTACATATACGTAGGTAATCAGACCAGGTAAAATGGTTTTAAAATGCTTTTCCAGCGAACAGTAGAATTTTGTACATCATTAAAAGTAAATTCACTCTAAATAATTTAAACTGAGAAACTATTTGGAACGATAGCATGCTGTGCAACATTAAAATTACTGAATTCCTCTGAACGAATATAGGTTAAATTTCAAGTCCAGTCATTACAAAGCCTTTTTCTGGTCCGATGTTGGGCCACTAAATGACATGTTTCATTAATCAAATACCATAAATCAATCAAAAAAAAAGTGAAGCCAACGTGGTAACGAAAACTGCATATTTGAAAATGCTTAGATTGATTATAATTAAATGTTCTTACCCCAGTAGTTGTCCGAAGTTTCCACAGCTCATCTTACTCCTCTACGCGGCACTCACAGAATTAATGTGACCGCATTGGTGTAACGCACAACCCCCTCCCTGCCCCGCGTAAAAAATACGACAGAACGGAAATGTACTTACCACAGTACACTTTGATAAGCCTGAAAACATGATAAAGTACATTAAAATAAATGTGTCAGTCCTCACACTAATATTATGTTCGGTATTCTCAGGTGACACAGGTAGCCGAGCCCTATATGACATTCCCTGAGACCCCTAAAAAGTATAGCAACACCTGAAACGTCGCATATAATACAGACTTAGACAACTCTTAATATAATATTCACACAAAAATACCGCAGTGTTACATGTCATCGTTTTTTGTAATTAATACAATTTCCATTAAACAAATTTGTGTATGGCAGATCGTAAATGATTTAATAATGGTCAATTGCAAAGGTAATTAACATAAAATCAAATACGTTTGGTGAATGTTAAAGGATTTGGGGTTGGTTATGGGCTATTTAAAAATACTGCGTTCTGGCAAGGTTTAAACCAAACACCTCCTGAATAAAGCTTTGGAAGCATTACTACTTGAAACTACCTACATAACCATAAATCCATACCTGTACAGCCAAAATAATCCACGCAGTGTTCAGATTCGATGCTCTATATTTTCAGGAAACATCTTTAGATGGCTACAAGCCAAAACATGTATTGTCTGTCAGTGGACTATCATTTTTGATATATTATACTGAGTTTGTTACGCGATATAAAAGTGGTAATGGCTGTACTACTAGTAAGTAAAATACTAATTGAGTCAACTTACTACGTGCATTTAAGCAGGGAATTCAAACTTCACCCTGCTGGTTGACTGTCTCCTTGGATGTTATGACTAGAAAGTGGGAAAATTGTGTAATGAGTCAGAAATTGCAGTTGCATGCATTTTTATGCTACTTAAAAACATGAAGTATTAATTGACAAATGAAACGAGGAACCTTTCTTCTCCGCAATTTCTTCAATTCCCTGCTTTGAGACAGTTAACATGATTATGTACGTAGAACACGCCAAACAAAAATAAAACAAGCAGCACATGATATATATTGCAAGTGTATAAATAAATATTTCAAAAACTTTTCATGAAATAACTTAATCCAGGCCTCTTAAATGGTAAGCTATGAATTACAAACAATTTTTATAACTGGAGCAAGGGCGTATTTAGGTTTTCGTATCAGGGACAGAACTGCAGAAACAACACTCACACAAATAAAGGATAATTTTTAAATATCGTACATGTCAGAAATTACAACAAAATAAAATTCTCCTATGTAGTTTGTTTCTTAAAATATCAACATTTCAGTATTTCCATTACTAGAATGTCACAATTTAGAGAAAGCTCTCAAGGGTAAATAATAAATGAGGTCATTGTGAAATGATTTACCAGAACGAACTCATCTATTTTCATTGCTTGTACGGCTTACAAAATGGGAAAAGCATTTACGTACACAACAGTTTGAAATTATAAGGTTGATAAATAACTATAATATTCAAACAATGAGTATATTGTTCATATAAATACTGAACTGGGCAGACAGCATTTTTATTAAGAATAAACATTGCGCAGCCTAAAATAAACTCCAGTATCTTATCTTCTTCCATCCATGTTGCTTTAACAAAGAAACAGTCCCCTACCTATTCCATATCAAACTGTTTTAAAACATCAAGAATGCCATTATATTCTTCAGAACATACATGACACTAAAATAAGTGGAACTGTAAAATTAAAAAAAATGTGAAATAAAACTTTTACAGACTAATTTCAAACTATGGTCAAATCATGAACAGAACAGTTCTGAAGTGTTGTAATCAGAATTTTGATCATATTTCATTATTCTGTTACAGATTCAAGCAACACTAAGAGGTTCCATTATCTTTTTAGAAACCAACTCGTCTGCATTTATTCTTTATACTGAAATCCTAATACAAAATTAAGAGGGGACAAGGTGAACTATAACCCAATTTTGTATCGCTGGAGATAATGAGAAATATCGCCATGCAGCTGATCAAATTACCAACATAACATGAACTGTCAACATCATAAAGTGCTCATAATCTGCATATGATAAGGGTCTCGGTTCTATGAACGCTAATGCACTTACGTTGTCTGTCCTGACTAGCATTTCAATTTGCTTCTTATGTCATTTACTAATGATGAATAAAATGCACATGCCATGTATTCTTTGAAAGTGAGTTTTTTTTTTAAAAAAATGGGGGGCATCATTATAGTCTGCTTGATTACTATCCTGACATTCACTTCAAGTCACTGATGGAGGAATTGAAGACAGGAGGAAAGATGGAGTCTCAGCGGGAAACATGTTGACGATTGTGACACCATGTGGATTTGTAGGTAATTATTCTTTAAGAGGACCATACGAAGATGGAGGTGATTTGGTCCCTTGAAACGCTGGTAACCACCTACAAAATCACATGGTGTTACAACTCAGATCACAACTGACCAGAACAGATTATCTCAGCTGGGACAAAAAAAAGTACCTCCTGAACGAAACGCAGGGTTTTTACGGACACCACATCACTTAATGCCCGTATTCATATAATTTTTAATGATTTTCTTACGCTGTCATATAGTGTAAAGTGGAAGGATCATGGCTCTAACTGAATGTCTGAAAGGCAAATCAACACTTAAAATTTGTCTATTTGTATTTCCACCTCATAAGCAGTTATGCAGACAAAAATGTGAAGCTACTTACACATGGGCTCAATGTGCTTTGTCTCTTAGCTACCAGATACTTGCTTAAGTCTTGATAATGAAGCTCTAAGTAAAGCTGAAAACCTCCTGGACCAAAAATAAAATTGAACTAGTATTTCTGACATGGAAGGAGGAAACCTCAGCCATGGCTAGGACGATGGTTAGGTGTGACTGCTTAAGAGACATGTTAGTATTTTTAGTAGAACCAGTAGTAAGAGATCAGTACTTGCTTTGTTATTATTCGGTTCAATTCCCTTAAGTTTGGTTAACTCATCACTCTTTTTTTCACAGAAAAGGTAGCTTACCTGTAATTACTGTTATTCAGATGACAAAACATAATCAGAAAAAAGTGTACTATGATAGGGGAAGAAAATCAAATGCAGAAGTACAAACAAATAACATGGTCACTAACATTTGTCAGTTTTCCCACAAAAGACTTTTCCAAATTTATACAAATATTAAAATAAAATACCTACCATTATATTGGGTAACTGACCCAATGAAAGAGAAATGTAATATTACATTGCAAAGTAATTAACTGTTGGCTAATGCTGATCAGAGCCTTTAGAGCCTCTTTTGTAAGCAGACAGAATACCAACTTCACAATTGGTACATCTAGTCATATCACAAAAAATGTGTCTTTAACATGTAGAATTAAAGGTAAGTGAAGCAAATAAGCTGGTAATGGTGGGGGGACTTGTGTGACCAACTTTATTGAAAAGAATTACGTGAAGCACTTAGTGACATAGGTTCGGTTACTGTGCAATCTGACCCAGTTCGTGTTGTAATGGGCACACTCTTGCCAGTCATGTGCAAAGGCTGATCTCAGGTTTGATTATTCAGACTGAACAGTGTTATTACACACGTAACTAAGACGATACTTACCTGAATTTGCAGGACTTGCAACATCACAAAATGTACGTACTTACAAGCTCAATGTAGCAGCTGGAACACACTAGTGTTACTGTTATAACCTGTACATACAGAGCCTGTTAACAAGACTATTTCCAGCACATTCAGGTTTTAACACTTGTACCAAATTAATGGAATAACGTATCATTAACTTACCTTAAATGAAATGTCACAAAGGTGTAATTATTATAATGTACAGAATACTTTTCCAGCAATTTCTAAAACTCATAAAATAAGAGTCAACACTCACTTGTTGGACAAAGTTAACAGAAGCACGCTATGTTGGTAAGCGTGTGAGGTTTACCTTGGGAAATGAAACTTATAAAATACTTCAACCAACATGTTAAAATATTCTGTCCAGAATTTAAACATTACTTCACACTACAGCATTTTACTGAATAATAAAACTACTAAAACAGACCTCTCTTTGGTAATGAACCGAGTAAACAACATTCAATATTGTTTGAAAATAAAAAAAAGACTGAATAAGATTCATTTCAAAGGCTATAAAATGGGCTGCAATGTTTAAGGTCAGAACAATTTGTTGTAAAATTAACAGACAAAAACCTATCTCAGCTTGACTGCAAAGTCTGAGCTGCATACGGTTGACTTCAATCGATCACACGTTTCCAGTTTGAAAATAATGGGGGTTTTGATGACTATCAAGCACACCACAGGTATGTTGCAGTCTCCAAGTTGCTGTCAAGGGTCATCACAGTAGTTCACTTACACTTCACAAGTTGGGACATGTTCACTATAATAATAATAATAATAATAATGTAAAATCACCAGCCATTATTTTTTGGGCCCAAAATACATACAGCAATATTTCACTGTTTCACCCTGAATCTCTTTCACTTTGGGCCACTGTTTATTATTGGACTGTAATTCTGTCGCATAACAAATCCTCTCATTCCCTTCAATTTATCACTTAGCTATAGGCCACTAAACCTCAAAGTGGGTTAACACTATGTTCAATTTCTGGGTGTAGCAAGGGTGCTGTTTCCAGGAGCTACTGACATCTCTCCGCCCTGCCCACTGTCTCTCTGAGGACTCTGAAATAACGATAGACACTTTTAACTATACATATATAAATCCAACATATCCATCTAAGGAGAACAGTGCACTGTTCAGTGGTAAAAAATCATATCTTAAAAACTACCTCGCTATAAAACAATTTATTATTTCAGTTTTTTCAGTCCATACCAGAAAGTGAAATCACCACTTCAAAATGTGATTAACAGCATGAACAGTGTTCAGAAGAGGATCCTGAAGAGAATATTTGGACGTAAGTGGCGGGATAAAGATAGCTGAATAATGAGAATCTTCTTTATTTGTACTTTTCACCTGATATTAGGATCTTAAAGAAAGAGGATGAGAAGATTTGTCTCAAGGTGGGGTCCAGTTAGTCATTAACAGCACACAGATTCAGTGTAAGTCCATGTGACAAGTAATAAATTTCCAGAATACCTCCTTGCTTTATCAAGAATGTTCTGCAACCACCAGTATCCTTTTTCAACTATTTTCAAGGGATTTTCTAAAGCTTAAGATAGCAAACAGCACGTAATCCTAAGCAAATACAGAATATGTACTTGATTATGGATATCCCAGTTAATAAAAACTTCAATTTGAAGGTAAAATAATTCTCTATATTGTAATCAATGGGTTTCCTGGCTTTCAAAATTATATTCCATGATGGTTAACATATTCTTGAGGAGTGATGATCAGATTGAAACACTTCATTTTGTATTTATGGGTTTCATATAAATCTCAGTGTTAAAAGTTGCAATTTCCTTAAACTGGTCTTTGTAATGGGAAAATATTTTCTTTGTGATATGAACTGAATTCTTAAACATTATTTAGACAAACTTTGGGTTTAAAGTGTTAAAGAACACAAGCTATGAAAACAGAGTGCAACATCAATATAACAATAATTTATAAAATTCAGGCAATATTTTACATATTATATGGCACTTTAATACCTTAAATAAAAATACACCAAAAATAAAAATATCAATAAACCATCAGCCCTCCTTTAACATCAATATTGGTGGTGGATAAAGAGTATAGAGTTCTATTAGGTTTCACTGTATTTTAACAAATCCCTTGTCAGTAGCAGTTAAAACCAGAACTGCAGCCATATTTGTAATTTTGATGTAATCTGTATGCAGTACCACTGCATGAAAAACAGTTTAAATCGTCTCATAAGATACTTTCCTTCATTTTAATTGAAGACACGAACTAACAATATGGTTCACGACATCCTCACTGGAGGATCAGTTTACACTGTCTGGCTTTATTTTTCCTACATAACAGAGTTTTAACTGCAAGACCAAGTTTATTCCAGACACCATGGAACTTTACTTAGTTACTTTATTTAGTCAACACATGGTACATAATTAAAGAAAAATAAATACAGATTCAGATGTGTTTACAAGAATTTATGAGCAACTGTAAAATGGCTGCATTACAAGTTGCAAAATTTCATGTTTCTCACCCAAAAACAATACTAATGACAGGAAACGAGGAACTTTCCTTTACACACGACTATTTTAAATCAACTGTACATCTTGATCAGTTACAAAGGCTGCTTTATACTAAAGTAACATGGTTTCCAAAGAAGTTCATGCTCCTGATATTTTGGGCCTCAACAGATTATTTTCATACCATAAACTATAATTCACTGTAAGAATAACTGTGGAAATTGATCCACCAAAATACATCCAACATAATATACAAAATCAAAATTAGTGTGGAATATAATGTTTTCTACCAATTTAACTACACTTCTCTTGTAAAAAAACAAAAAAAATTGTCAATGCTGCATCAACATACAGGCAAAATTATTATAATTTAAAACTTGTAATGCCATGATTATTAAATTAACAGAAAAAATGCATGAAATATCAGCATAAACTATTCATCCCATATCCAACATGTCAACCATTTAGGACTGCTACAAGCAACTCTTCCCTGGTGTTACTACAAGGCAATGGGAGAAAATATAAACTGATTGATGGCACTTGTTGCAATATGCTGCGTCACCAGAGGAGTGTTAACTTTTACAATATTAAGAAATGACAAAGCATTTCATAGCCACTTCCATTGCTTCCGATGTCTTACTGAAGACCGTATGTCTTATAAAGAGGAACTCATCATAAGCAGCGATTCATTCGCAAGTGAAAGGAGGAATGCTTTTAGTATTATCTCAGTGCAAGTAATTAAATTAATTAAATTTGTGGTAAACTGATTACATTTGTAGTCATAAAGCTATGCTACATTCATCTGCATATGATTCCAGACTACAAACACAAGTGGGGCTAACATTTAATGCACTCAGTTGCCTGGTGATGGGAGTGTGTTTGCTCCTTTTCTGCTGAAAAAAATTAACAATATTTCACACAAAAATGCAACAGATACATTCAAATACTCACACGAAAAAAGGCTTCCAGGTCACTATCATGATACTTTTATGACCATGACAAGACTATTAAATTTTGCAATACAAAATGATTCAGTTTTTTGGGGGGAATAAAATCTCCTAAATAGTCATCAAAAAACAACCCTGTAGTGTCAAAATTTGAATATAGAAAAATAAGACTGTAATTAGTTTCAGAAAGTATTGAGAAATTCATGCTTTAGATGCGCAGCTGAAATGATTTTGATTAAATTTGGTAAGGGCATTATGCCAATAGTGGCCACCTACACTCGGTATTAACAACATGCCATGCACAAACTTGTAAGGTGGGAGAGATGCTAGTGTCACTTAATATAAGGTCATACAATAATGTTTGGTAATGAATCTTAATAATAATAATAACAATAAGTAAAAAATGAAATGTACACAGTAATTCTCTGTACAGAGCAAACCAATAACACAGCAGTTCCTTGAAATAAGACTTTACCACCACCACCAACAACAACAACAGTAAATATGTCAACTGGATTGTAAACCACTCCAGTTTCTTCTGAGAATAAGAAGATAAGCAAGCCTACGCAAGAAATTATAAAAGAATCTTACATTAAAACCAAACAATTATACTTTTAAAATTATCTGTGATTTATTCATACACTTATGTGGATCATATTTATGGGAATTCTTGCAGAGTATATATATTGCATGGTATTTTATGTGTCAGTCAGGATCATTCAGAATGCAAAGATTATAAGTGTATTCCACTACAGATCACACTTTTCCAGTCATTTTATGGTTGCTAAAAACCTTATTACACAGTCATGAAAATACACCCACCTTGACATGAATTTGGTGTTTGAGCATAGCAGCCCTAAGAATGAGCATGCGTGTCCGTCGCTGATACTCCTTACCTACTGCCAATGACTTTTCAAATGTTGTGCTCCTCTGGTCAACTTCTTTTGCATAAAGTATCTGCAAATAAAATTACATTTTCTTTAAACCTGAACAGATGAACAAGGCTTATATGGTATATATTTAGTGCCAATTATAACATTTGTGTAAGTGATTTCAACTGTTCCTCTGTTAGTGAAGCAAACAACAAAACATCTGGCGTTGAATAACAGTAAGTAAAAACATCATGGACGGTGTTCTGTCCTTTTCACTTTTGATCATACCACATGCCTCTCACTATTCCTGCTCAAAACATCCCTTTATATTTATAATTATGTTCCTAACTAAATGTCCATTACATTATTATATCCCTCTTTAAAGTTTTTTTGTTTAGAAACCAGCCTTTCAAATAAACTCTTCAAGGTTCTGCTGTATTGTTATATAAACAATAGTTAAAACAAATATGGTGCAGGAAAACTGGCATAAGGTAATCGTATTGTCCCAACTTTTAGTTGAATAAGCGAAAAGTGTGGTCCAAGTGGATTAAACTCAGATGACCAAAGCGAGGTCTGAGCATGTCTCTTAAAACCTCTAGAACAATATACTAACAATTTTTTAAAAAAAAATTTATTGCCTGTTTCAATCTTTTCCATCTCTGAATAAATATTTTCATAACACACTGCCTTAACACTGATTATTAGAAGAGATATTAGCTCATCTGGCAAATGCTTCAGTGTTATACAAAACTAAATTATAAGAACCTGAAATCACAAGTTAATAAAATAACAAAGAATGTGACAGGATAACAGTTTTAACAAGGGATACCTTGTTGTGTGAATCAATGCGAGCTTGGATCTGTCCATCCAAAATCAACTGCATAAGTTCATCCTCAAGCGCCAGGACTGTAGTATTGAATGCAGCTGCCATTTTTCTCATATCTGCCGACAGGTATGGACTAAAGTACTGGATGAGTGCACGATTCCGTATCTGAGTGTACAATGCGTTCACGTGTGGTGCAATGTACATGTCTAGTAAGAGATTATCCTGGAGCAGCGTACATACACACACACATATATAGGATTAAGATAACATTATATACAATGGTTACAGTTTGTTCAAAGGCAGACCCAATATAAATTGCCATTTTCCCCAAGTGAAACATAATCCAACACAAAAATAGTTGCCACAGTTTATGTGATTTAACTTGAAAGCAACACTTAGACCGTCCCATTTCACTATGGGAGGAAACACGTTAAGAAACTGAGGTAAAAATAAAGACATATCATAAAATCTCACCTTTATTTCATCCAGGAGCTTAAGACAGGACGCGTATTTGGATTCATAGAATTTAAATATAATATCCCTGAGCTGTGGTTCTAATTCCAGGAACAATTTGAAAGAACTGCAAAAATAAAAACAACATTTAAATAACCACTACTTTCCAACCCATAAAATGTCATAAATCACATTAAATATCTTTAAATTTTGAATGAAAAACCAAATATCAAAATGGTTCTGGCTAAAGATAATGATTTTGATACATGAATTACACCAAAAATGTAAATCTCTAAACACTCCCCAGACTAAAGAAGTAAGGTCATAAATTTATGCAGGACACAACCTTTATAAAGAGAATTTCTATACAATAAAATAAATTTCTATGAATCTCAGTGAGAGTTTTGTTATTAAAAGGCTTCCTTTCTTCTTTATTTTAAAGATAGAAAGTAGGCAGATGTACAAACTTATGAGGTGGTGGGAATGACACTAGTGCCAACTAAAACAGGGTCCTGAAACTATATAAGGTAAAAGGCATGATTTTTAAAAAATGACAAATCTTTTAAGGTTATTATTTGCAGAATGTAAAATAACATGATAACTGCAAGAAATGTAAATTTAACTCTAGGTATGACAGTGACAACTGACTCACTGGAGCCAGGCATGAAATAGGCAGTAACACAACATGAGAAGATAAAAATATTTCTCTTTCAAAAACTACTTTGAGCATGAAATTGCCTCTTCTGTCACTATATGGTCCATGTACGTACCATTTGCAATTCCTTAAACATGCATATATCATTTGCTAAGAAATATTCTTTTACAATGAAATACTGCTAGTTTACTGCTAATAATGGCTGTGTAAGTCAGAAGCAAGTGGCATGGACAAGAAGTCCCAAATCCAAGAGGAGTGTACACAACCGATCTAATATTAAGTAGATGGTTATACGAAGGCGTTTCAAAAAGTAACAGCAAATTGACAATATTTCACGAAACAAATACAGGCATTTCAAACTCCCGCGCAGGGAAGATACATTCTTAGAGAAGGTTTTGACACCGCCCAATAGATGGCGTAGCGTGCTTAATTGGAAGGGATGCATATACAAATTGGCGGCACCCTTAGCTGTTTGCACTGTAGAGGAGCAGCGAGCAATCAGCTTTTTGTGGTCGGAGGGTGTGAAACCTCGTGAAATTCATAGAAGAATGCTGCAACAGTATGGAGATGCCTGCATTGGCAAGAGATGAGTGTGCGAGTGGGTAGATGTATTTAAAAATGGGCGAACATCAATCCGTGATGACTGACGCTCTGGTCGTCCATGACAACGCACGCCCTCACACGGCTGCTGCAACTCTTGACACCATTCGGAGATTGAGATTTCAGATCCCCCATACAGCACTGAACTTGCTCCCTCTGATTGTCATGTGTTTGGACCCCTGAAGGACGCTTTGAGAGGACGAAGATTTGGGAATGACGACGAGGTCAAAGAAGCGGTGCATTCCTGGCTGAAGGCACAACCAAAAACATTTTTTTCTGATGGAATAAAGAAGTTGGTGCAATGGCATAAGGGTGATTATGTAGAAAAATGACATATCATTTGTATCTCAAATTAAATTATATATCTCAAAATATTTAATTTGCTGTTACTTTTTGAAATGCCCTCGTATAATGTTACAAACCTTTGTAGAATCTTCAGTTAACTTTCTATGCCAATTAATTTACAATATGGCACATATTTTTCATTCATTAGAACAATTCTAACATACATTCTGCCTCTCACCACCACTTTGAGATGCAGTCAATGGCTATGCAAACTGCAACTTAGTTACCCACAAACCATTTTCTTGAGATAAACTTACCTACTAAAAATTACATTCTTCTGAAGTTCATGGCGGTCAAATGTTGCTAGGGCACAGAGGCCACCATACATAGCAACATTGCTAGGTGATAACAGCTCTGGAAAATCACAGTGGTCAAAGTTTCCTACCAGAAAATGCTTTGCTGCTGATTTATATTTCTTGGTTGCCAATTCTGCCAAGCCAGCTGCACATTTAAGTCGAGTTTGGATCGTTTGGTTGCTATCTTTACCATGTAACTAGAAAATAAAGTATAAAACTGGAGTTGAAGGAACAAGCAAACAACAACATGATTTTCCAATAAATTAAAATAACTACAAGTGCTAGAAACAAACCACATTCACTCATTACATTTTGTTCCTACTTTAGCATCTAAATATGTTGAGCTGCCACAAGTTTACTGATTAGGCAATTAATTTATAGCATGTTTATGTATCATATGTAATGTTCACGGTTTCATTATGTTATTTCATATACATTAGAGACAGGGCCCCAGGTTGGGGGTTGGTTGCAAGGCCAAAAACCTTGCACCACAAAAAGGAAGATGTTTCGAAACCTCAACCTCGGACAGACACACCTAACAGAAGGACCGAATGGAAGACGAGAATTGAGGAGGCCATGGACCGAATACGGACCGGAGAGCCACAGAAGAAGAAGAAGAAGAAGAAGCAGGGCCATCCATTTGTTGTGTGCATAAAAACCTACATATCTACGTACTAATCAAACACTTACAAGGCCACATTCATGTATCCCCATTTAACTAATAAGGTATTAAATTTGCCCAATGTTGATTTACGTGTCATTCTCAAGGAACTTAATTCCTGCATTGAATGAGAGTTTCCTGTATTTTAATCCTTTAGGTTCGTAGATATGATATAGAAGACAAAACATTCTGTAATACACATTCTCCAAATTTAAACAGTTTATAACTTACTCCTGAATGCAATTTTGTTCAACAATAATTATCTCATGCATGTTTTAAATTGACTAGCAGAGAAATATAAATGCTACATCAACAACAAAAAATAATAAAATAAACTGCTCAATAAAGTATATGCACCTTATAGCTAGTGTCTGATACTACAACCATCTGATATTATTACTAAAAATCATAAACACCCTACTCAGAATAAAGTCCCTGTTTGGGTACAAATGGCTCAGTCCCACTGAATGTAAGGCACTAACATTATCAGTCTTGCATTTCTGTAATTCATACCTCAGAGAAATCTGGAGTTGCTTCTGCTTTACTGACATAACTCAAAACATGTGACCAGTTCTGCAAATATACACTGACCTGCAAACACAATAACATCTCCATTAAACAAGACATTTATGATCTAGATTGTTGGGTTTTGGGACCTTGTCCATTCTCTGAAGTTATAAAATTACACAAGGTTTTGACGACTGGATCTGTCCTTGTCTTCAGATGTGGTGAAGGGAAAGGGCACCTACTCTGTGGGATCCATTAGAACGAGCTAATATCAATCACTGGATTATAACAACAGATGATGGACAAGGTCCAGAAACCTACACAGTTGGTATCTGAATGCACATATCTGTTTTTCAATGGGATTAAGTATTAGATATAGAACCTATACAATAATTTTTTATTTTGACTTAGCATGATGGGATCTTATTACTGAAGCAGAGGTATAATTAACGTAAGATACAAGCTAAATTGGACAGCTAAAAGATACATCCATAAGATATTGCTAAGCTAATCAAGAAATTTCACTGTTTCATGGAAGATGAAGGTTTATTGCCAATCCACACACATTTAATTTCCTTATGATTTACTTTAATATTACCCTCTCACCCTGTAGAATAACAATTACTTTGGTATGAAAAAATAATGTAACACAACATACCTTGATGACATTAAGGCACATGTTAACTACATGTTTGCCACTAGTACAATAGTCACGTGCCCGTGAATAACATTTGAGAGCATTCGATAAATCACCACAGTCTAGGTAATGGTCTCCCAAGTCGTCATGCCCCCGCCGGATACTCTCCTTGATTGAATTTGACTTGTAGTTTTTCAGATCTGTGTCCAGTTTCTCCAGCTTCAACAAAGTTGTAAGTACTCTCTCAACACAGAAACATTTACAGTATAGTTCAAACTATCATCATCAGATATCAACAGTCAATGGTACAGGTGTACTAACAAATTTTTAATTTCCATTCAATCCGTGGCGTAACAGCTCTATGAGAGCCAAAGCCGACTAGCTGGCTGCTGGCCTCACGTTCACATGAACGATCATCCAACCAGATACAGGGTGACGTCTGGTCAGCACGACGAACCCCCAGCCATTGCTAGTTTTCATGACCGGAATTTCCATTCAATAAGGTGTATAAATAACACTTTATAGTTCACAAGGAGACAAAGTAAACACAATATAAATGAACAATTTATTCAAGGAGCTAATTCTATATGATACCACATCATATAAAACTTCTCTGAACATCAACTGTTGAAATGCAGGCACTTAAAGCCATGCATATTCTACCCACTGACATGTCGCTAAATCCCTTTCTGTGAACTGGAACAAAGCAAAATGTGGCCACAATACAAAGTTCTATGTGATTTCATCACAGTTACTATCTAGACCACAGGTGAAAACTAAAGCATATGAAAAATTCAATAAAACCCATAATAATATTCAGATATTATTACTAATATGACTCTATATTCAATTTAAATTTCTCGTACAAAATAAGGAACATATTTGGCTTTGGTAAGAAGTCATGTTTTGTAATTCCTACTACTTAATACCTTGCATGCCGTGCTGTGTTAACTAAATATATAAAATCATGCATACAAACAAAACTTACACTTTAAAAGTATAAACAGTTTTGTTTGTATGCATGATTTTATATATTTACTTCCTACTACACATATCTATTTCCATGTCCTCTTCCTACGCCTGGTTTAACGTCTGTCTTAACATCTTATTAACCACTAATAATATAATTAGTATGTACTCTTAATATGTTCAGTCAGAGCGAATGATTAACAGCTATTTAACAATTTTCTTTCCGAGATTCTCCAGCCTACAATCACTTCAAAATAGACTCATCAAGCTCCTAAATAAAAATAATTACCCACCCCTTATCTAGATAAAATACACTTCATGTTATTACACCAAAGTGTGGCAGCACAGTCACATCCACCTGCTTTAATGTATAAGTTATAAAAATAAAATAATGTTATTCTTCATATTTTTACAAATTATGTATTACATAAAGTACCTTTAGTGCTGCTTTTTTAGATTTGGACTCAACCCAGAGCAAGTCAAGGGTGGGGATGTCTTGTGACGTGGACTGAACACCACTACCGCTACCACCACCCCCACCCCCTGCTACATCAGGCAAGTTGGAAATTCTGAAATAACACAATTTTATCTAAAACTGCTTATCAGGCATTTCACCCCTGTAACACAATCATACAAACATAGCATATAAGAAATAAAACTGATTTTGCTCTCCCCATGTTCATTTCACACATGGACTCGTGCTACTTGGCAAAAGATTACTTAAAATTACAAACTACCAACAGAATCTTTGTTAAAATCAGATTTGACTTTAGGTTTATTTTCTTCACAGAACATTTCTGTTGACTGGAAGTGTTCTGCTAGCCTACTGTGTTTGTGTTATTCCTCCTCCTAATCTGTAGCTTGGTTCAAATTTTTAACAGTCCATTTAGTCTTTCAGTTACTTAAACATGGGCACCTGACATCTCTTTTTGATATCTCACACTCTCATTGAACTTCAGGATTGAGGACTTGGGGGATGAAGAAAGACGAAGCCAGGTCAGCTGTATCCAGCGAGTTGGACAGGGGTTTGATGTGACATATTTTTAGTTCAGGGTAATGTATATCATAGTGCCAAAGTAACTTTGCTCACTGTTTAATAAATCTAAATCAATCAGTAACTGAATATGAAATTCACCACATAACATTTTTACAGTTCATGATACCATTTATAACCTCCGCTTTCCAGTCCATAAATATGCATACCTGTCTGTGAGAGGGGAGCTT